TCACATTCGGTAGGAAAACTGCATGCTCCGAAACCCCCAAAGCCCTGCAAAAGCAAACAGATGTTTCCGCTTTGGAAGGATTCTACGTGTAAAAGCCAACGTGGAAATGCACACAGGCTTGGGCTGTGGGACATATACCACAGTTCTCCCCGTATAGCAAAGGGGCAGCTGCGGACTGGAGATTTCTCCATCCCTTCATCATACCCACCTCTCCCAGCATCATCTTCAGCCACTTCGCAAAGCCTCATAGCCAGGCCACACTCAAATCTGCATTCACGCATTAAATATTTCCAAAACAACAAATCCACACTGGTCTAAGGCTTGAGAAGTTCTGGCACAATTATGCTTTGTTTTTCCATTAGGAGAGCATTAGGTGATGTACATCACAGGGCATCACACCACAAGAAGCCTCTTGAGAAGATGCCGCATTGAGAGGGAACAAGGAGCCATCGTTCAAGCACGGCACCGCTTTTTACTTGGGTTTACCTCTTTACTTGGGTGACTCTCACCCACAGCACCTGTACTGCTGAAAAGGATTTACCGCAAGGAAAACATCCCTTGCCAACCCAACCACCCCCAAAGCAATCTCCCACCTCACCACGGAGAAGGGGGGGGAAGGGCTAAACAAGAAACATTAAAACTTTTGTTTTCCTCCAAGAAACTGCAAAGTGACAGCAGTTTCAGGTTACACCCTAAACCTGCCTTGCTATGGTAGTTTTTCAAATTAAAATATCTTCTGTGGCCTCAGCCACTCTCAAGCCATCCATAGGCAAGAAAGAAAGGAGGCAGGGCAACACTTAAGCTCAGGCATAATTGGAAGTATGTGAAAAATGAAGTGTCAGTTCGGTCAATAAAGGGCAAAGGTGAAGGGGAACTGCAGCCCAAACTCGGTGCGAAATGTGCTCATTAAGACACCCAATCCGCGGGCTTCTGCTCACCTATCCCATTAGTCATCGGCCATCTGACCGCTTCAAATGCCTTGCCTCCCTGCTCTTATTACTTTTCTTCTCCCATGTTAAAAAAAAAAAAAAAAAAAAGGTGAGCTGGTATATAAATCCTTGCTCAGTCATCTGGAACATAATGTGGCCCTTCTCTCCCCCTCCATCCGGCTCTGCCGCCTGCCTTCGCAGCCTCCAAACAACTGCCTTGAGATTCCCGGCAATAATAAACGCAATTGCCTTTTTGCCTATAGGTTGTCTGAACTCCTACAAAAGCCTGAAAAAAAACCCATTGCAGCCATTGATACATTTTTATAAAGAAATATCACCGCTTTCTACTCCCAGCTTGAAAGAGCAACAATTATTTGGAGGTTAAAAAAATTTTGAACCCAGGCTGAGGCTTGCACAAAAAGAAAGGGGGCAAGAAACAATATGCACAAATAGGAGACACTGACGGATTATTTTTTGTTTTCTTCTAAGCCATGTAGGAGAGCTAAACATGGGAATTAAAGAGCCCCACTCTAGATTAAAAGTGACTGTACCAAGCCTTTGTTCTGCATCCTCCTGGCCTGACTATTTGCAAAACAAACAAAATAGATCTGTTAATACCCCAGACAGGAATCTTAAAGTTAGGATATGCAGTAAGACAAGATAGCGTTACTGTGAGCTCAGCATCACCTGCCCATACCTAAGAACTTGCTTCTCTTTTTTTTTAAAATAGAATTTAGTAAGTTATTTCTCCACTTTGTAGATCTCTTTGCACCATTTGGAGACAGACCTCCAACGGTCCTTCATGGTAAGTTCAGAGCAATGGGAAAACAGCCCATGAAACTTTTTCATAATATTATTCTGCATTCCTGTACTATAACTATCCCTTACGATGACACAATACCGGGCCTTTATAAGAGGTTGCATCAACATGCTATGTGATAACATATCCTGCTCTTCAGTGGCACGAGACCCCAGAACAGCTCCCTAGCAGTTAAATATGGATTTCTACAATAGATCAAAGCAGCTGGGAGTCATTACTATTTCCTAAGTAAATAAATTTATATGTTAAAAAAGACTTTAAAATGTTTGCAGGAAGGAGCATCTCTCTCCTGTTTTCAAAGGTAGTCATTTGATGTGTGTTGTGCATAGGGACATAAACAGGTTAAAAATGCACTTTGTGAGGATTAAAAACAGTGATGAACCCTGTAAAGAAGAAAAATTTCCAAAAAGCCCAAAAATAGACCTTAACATAGTCTGGGTTAAAGACTAAGGGAGAAAAGAAAACTCTTACTAAGGGGCTTAAGCTTTCCAGTCTGCGTGCCTCTCTGAAAATGCAAAGCTTGCACTCACATCCTTGTGATACCTTCAGCCAGGTTGGAAACCCAGCCCAGAAGGTGCTTTTACCTACCCCAAAAGGGGAAGTAGGTTGTCAGAACAACCTAAAAATAGACAGTTTTAGAGGGTTATATTTCTGGCAATTAGATTTGGGTTTTTTTAAATGGCAAATGTGCTCCTGACAGATGGAACCAAAAGGACCTTTTACAAACTCCTAAAAATAGGGAAGCCCATAATATACTGAATATATGTCATGCAATGCATGCTTCTCAAGTTAACTCCTGTGCTCGCAAGCATGAATGTGCAGGTCCCCAGCCTTTCGCTGCCACCCCTCTGTGGCACCCAGCTGCTGCGGCAGTGCCATGCTGGCTGCTTCTGCTGCCAAGAAAAGCATCCAGCAGAGGTGAACACCAGAGTTTGACCACAGTGTTGCCACTCATAAGGCCACAGAAGAAAAGCCTCCAAATCACGGCATTCTGAACTTACATGTAGTTGAGGAGAGGCAGGGTATTTGCTATCTTTTTCTTCTCTTCCCTTTTGGTCATTCAGGATCATGGTTTTTTACTTCTTCCCCATGCGGGAAGGCTAAAACCAGGTTTGGTTTTTTTTTTACAGGAGGTGTATATGCAGGCATGGGTGTGCTTAAACAAATGAGATTCCCCTATAACCTCAACCTTCAGAGAGCTTCGAGCAAACAAGACATAAAGCAAGGCTCAGTGAGACCACCGCTGCCCTTCCCACATCCCTGTTCCTCAAAAAAAGGCCATTTCCATAGGTGGCAAGTGGCCTGAAGGCAAGCCTCAATAACAGAGACCCCCTGGACAGGGTCTCCTTTCCAAAGCTTCTTTCCCAGACTTGACCTGAGAGGTCCAGTTAGCAAATTCCCTTTTTTTTACTCTTTCCTAAAGTTTTAATGCAATGAGCCTTCTTCTCGAAACGCATCTATCAAGCGCTGGCAGCAATTCCAGCCTCAATAAACCTTACTCTGGCATTTGGGTAAAAGTCTCAGAACCAGCTAAAGCATCCCTGTCAAGTCTTTCTGCGGATATTTAATAGGACTCAAGCTCTAAAGTCACTTTAGAAAACCCTTTCTGACTGAGATTATAGCATGCACCTTGCTAGGAGCTGACCAGGATGGCGATGATAAAACATCAGATACAACTGGCACTGCAGACTAATAAAATGCCACATTGAGGAGAAAATGAAGACCAAAAATCTTAAAAAGTATACCAGGAAGTGAGTAGCTCGATTTCCAAAGGGCCCAAGAGGTTTAGGAGCATGCTGGCAAGCCTCCCCGCAGATGTTTTGTCCACGCACATATACACATGAACACGCGCACATCCGTCTAGTAAGAGAACAGCCCTATCCGAGCACAAAAAACCCCTCCAAACACCATGTTTTAGTTCAAAGCCTGTTTCTGCAGCAGCTTTTTCACCCTTAAAAAACCCGTGGATTTAAAGTTTGCTCCGAAAGCAAGAGGCTCTAATGAACATGTTGACACCACTTCAACTATAGCATTGTGAACAGCATCACTAGAATATATATGTATACATACTTGAAAGAAAAAAGGCCCCCTGAATTTATGTTGCATATCATTTTCCAGTAAAAGTCAGAGGTCAGAAGGTTACCAGTTTCTGCCTCAGCTCTGCAACAGTTTACTATTCCAGGCCCCATTTTTACTAGGCTATACTTGCGATGAAGTCAGCAACTTTTCTTTAAACAATAAAGTGTCTCAAATACTTAAAATCCTATAAAAGAGATGTTATTCACCATGTACGTTAGGTCCATGTGTATAAAAAATTAAAATATACTGTTTAGTTTAAAAACTAATCTTGTTAAATGCAGACTTTGCAACGCTAATCAGTACTGTTCAACCTTTTTTTGGAAACACAATTCCTTTGTTGTCTAACAGCACTTGAATTGAAACATGATCATAAAACCAGATTTAAAAGTATATACCTATTGTGAGTTCAGAGTCAACTTCAACAAAGCACTTTCTTTTATATTCAGATTTTAAATTTTAATTGCATTAAATTAACACTAAATCCACTGCAGTTGGTCTCTTCAGAAAAAGTATGAAGCATTTAAACAGCTTCTCAGAAAAAAACAGAATTTCAGCTTTTTAGACTTCGGAGCTTCTGAGACAGCGCTAATTATTTGTAGTATGTCCCACTTCAATTGCACCAAACTCATTTCATACTCGTCCTGCTAAATCAGTTACTCTGTTTGGCTTGGCACTCAAACAAAACATTTTTGCATTCAAGTAAATTGGAATTGAGTAAAAAAAGTAAATAAAAGCACTGCTCAGGATTTCATAAAATGGGCCAGCTAACATCTCTTCTTTATACGCAGTGGAGTTTCAATGGCATCTTTGAAATATTAGCATGCATTTCTGCAATCTTAATTACATTTGCTTTTGAAGATTTCATCTTTTAACCCATTTGAACGAAGGAAAAAAAAAAACTTCTCATTGCTTATTTTTATTAAGCATACTGCAAATTTGGTACATATGTTGCTCTAACATGTGCCTGCTGGCAGGGTCGAAGAAATAAAGATGCCAATCCTTTTACTAGGAGGACATGGAAAAAAAAGTGTCAAAAAAAAGGAAGATAGATCTTTCTCAGCACAACCTCCCTAGTACCTGAGCACATTTCAACATCGGAAAGAGAGCAATCGGTCCCCAAGTGCATCGGTGACCACTTGCCAGCTAAGAAAGCATGAGGGCTCCATTCCTACCTTGCTCACTGCTGTTGTCCCCGCTGTGCGATGTGTGTCCCCCGCTGGAGGGCCCGGGGGTTCCCCCGGAGCGCGTCGATGCCGTATCATCGTGGTCTCTGTTCCAGGAGGG